CTGTGGGTGTCAGTGTGCATCTCAGTGCCTGTATGTCTCCGTGTTTATTTCAGTTTTTGTGCATCAATGTCTCCATTTCCCAGCGTCTGAGTGTCTCAGTGACTGTATCCTCCAGAGTCTCTGTCCATCCAAGTGTGTGTATGTGTCAGGGATGTGTTCCAATATAGATGCAGCTCAATGTTTCTGTATCCCGGTGCCTATGTACCCCAACATCTATAAGTTCCAATTTCTGTCTTTACCCCCGGTTATGTACCAATGTCTATGAGTCTCAGTGTCTGCGCTTGCTGTTTATGTGTTCCAATGACTGTGTGTCACAGCGTATATTCCCCAGTGTCTGTAGATCACAGCCTCTCTGTACTCTAATGCCTGCATGTCCCCGCATCTATTTATATCCTATTTGTTCCAGTGTCCACACATCTCAGTATCTGTCCCAGTGTTTGAGTTCCTCAGTTTCTGTATGTTCCAGTGTTTGCATACCCTGGTGACCTACAGGTTGTATTGTGTCTCTTAGTTTCAGGATTCATGTGTATCTCCGTATCTGTGTTCCAACTGTTTATGTGTCACAATGTCTCTGAGTTCTGTGTTATTCCATGTCTGTAAGTGTATGCTTCAATAATTATATATCTCAGACTGTGTCCGACTTTTGTGTGCCCCAGTGTCAGTGTACCTCAGTGCACACATATTCCAGTGTTTGCTTGTTCCACAGTGAATTTCAGTGTCTGTGTGTCTCAGTGATTGTTACGTCCTTTGTCTTTGTGTCTCAGCATCTGTGTGTTCCAGCATTAGCACATTGCTTGCTCTGTCTCTGAGCTTCAGTTGTTGTGTGGTTCAGATTCCGTACTCCACTTTCCTAAGTCACGTCTCAGGTTCTGTACATCCCTCTGTCTATGTATCCCAGGATCTCTTCCCATTGGTTCTGTGTGCCAGTGTTCCTGCATGTCTGACATCTGTTCTGGTGTTAGGGTGTTAAGTATTTGTTCGTGCACCTATCTGTGTGTTTTAGCAGTTGCCTATGGTTCCCTTTGCCCATATCCACCTTAATATCTGTATGGCAAGTGTCTGGCTGGAATTCAAGGTTTATATATTACAATTTCCTACAGTTTATATGTCCCAATGTCTCTTTGTTTGAGTGTCTGTGGCTTCCTTTGTATATTGTGGTCCAGTATCTGTATGTCCTTGGTTCTCTGTTAAGTCTGTGAGTTTCTGTGTCCCATTCTTCATGCATCCCTATGTCATGCATCCTATAAGTCTCTGTGTTTTGGTGCTTGTATATTCTCTCTGGTTGTGACTAAGACGCTGTATTCCTTACTTCTGTCTTTGCCTCATTGTCCATGACGTCTGTGTTTTAGCGTCTGGGCATCCTCATCTTTGAATATATTTGAGGGTTTTTTTATATCCCAAACCTCTGTTCGAGTGTCTCTGTCTCCCAGTTTCTATGTGACCATGGATCTGTATGTCTGAGCATCCACTGGGCTTATGTGCTTGAGCGCACACACGCGTGTGTGTGTGTCTGTGTGTGTCCCTGTGTGTGCGTGCATGTGTCTTTGTTCTGCACATGGCTGAGCTTTTGTGTGTTCTCGATTCCTTATCTGTCCATGATACTCTACACATCCCTGAGTATTTTTATGTTTCAAAATCTCTGTGTCCTCGAATTTTTATATATCCCCAAGTCTGTATGGCCCTGAATCCTTACATGTCTCTCTGGTCCTTACATGTGACCTAGTAGCTATGTGTCCCTCTGTGTGGGTACCCATAGACTTTTGTGTTCAGCTGTCTATTTGTTTCTGTCTCTTTGCATCACCAAGTCTCTGTATGTCCCTGAAGGTCGGTGATCCAATATACATGTGTCCCTGAGCCTCTGTGTTCCAATGTCTGTATGCTCATGGATCTGCATATGCCTCCTTCCCTGCACCTAGTGTTGATGAGTCCTTAAGTCTGTGCATCTCCAGAACTTTGTTCTCCATGACCTTGTCTCCATCTGTGTTTTGGCACTTATCTTCATCTCTACCTATTCCTCCCATATTTTGTCAGTGTCGGTGCATTACTGTTTCTCTTTGTTACTGTGGCTCATCTTAAGTTGTTTTGTTACTTGATGTCTCTCTTAGTCCCCCGGGTCTTCGTGAATATGTTGGTGTTTCAAAGGGTTGGTGTGTCTGGGTGTCTCTGCATCTGTTTCTTTTGCTGTCTCACGATGTCTCTGGTTTTGTTTTGATTTGACTGTCACCTCTGTGTCCCTGCTTTTCTGTTTGCGCCTGGTGTTGTCACGGCCCCGTGTTTAGATGTCCCCACAAAGCCTCATGTGGTTTTAAGTGGGGCTCTTTCAGCGGTGGCCAAATCTGGAGTGTGTGACTGATTCATGTAATCCTAGGCCCAAGGCCACTAGGATTAAGGGTGTGAGTGCTACCTGCCCTAAGAAGTCTGAATAAGATTAAGGGACAGGAAGACCTACCCTGAGGGTGCCATAAACTGTTTGTCCTCTGTAAAGCCCCTTTGTCTTGCCATCCTGCCTTGGAGCCAGCCAATTATGGACTGAAACCTCTAGGAACTGTAAGCTAAATAAACCTTTCCTCCCTTAACTTTGGGTGTTGGGTATTTTGTCTCAGCAAGGAGAGAAAAGTAACTAAGACAGGTGTCTACATCCATGGCTTTTATTTTTGAGCCACTGTCTTTATGTCCCTTTATGTCTCTGTTGAATTCAGTGTCGCCATCCTTTCATTTGTGGCTTTGGTTGCCTGTTTGTGTGCACTATTTCTGGTGTCACTGGGTGCCACCTTGATTCTGTGTTTTTGTACCCCTGCCTCTTTAGAGAGATTTCCTTGTTATTGTATTTCTGCCTATTTGATTATATTCTGTGCATCTGGGTTTCTTTGTTCCAGATGTGTTCCCGTGTTTCTGTCCCTGTGTCTAACCTGTACCTTTGTACAGGAAACATGAACCATTCCCATGCCTCCTTGTTCTAGTGTCTCCGTCTCTGTATTCCTGTGTCGTTAACTGTCACTATGTCACAATATTCTCTTTGTACCCATTGTCTGCACCTTGCCTATCCTTATGTCTGTTATCTGGCCAGATCCCTATCTCTTTACTGGTGTTCGTCACCCTTCAAGTGTCTGAGTCTCCCTGTGTTTGCCTCTGGATCGCTGAATATACGTAGCTGTGCTTCTCTTAGTGTATACTTCTGTGTATGCCTATACAAATCTGTTTCACTCTTAATATCATCCTCTCTGTCTGTCTTGTGCCCGAGTCTTCATCACCAAATATGAGTCTGTCTATTTCTAATATGCATCTATTTCTACATCCCTGTATGTCCCTGGCCCTGTGTCTTTGTGTTCTTCCCGCATGCTCCTTCAAGTAAGTGTGTTGGTGTGTCTGTCTGTTTATACCTTTATGTCCTTGGTGTCTTGGACCATGGTCTACCTGGTTGCCTTTGTGTTCCCCATATCTCTGTGTGACTCGATCTCTCTGCTTGTTTGTTTCTGTCTGTCTCTCTCTCTCTCTTTCTCTTTCTCTCTCTCTCTCTATATATATATATATATATATATATATCATCTATCTTAGTTTGTATGTTTTTATGTCTTAGTGTCATCACATTAACCATTGGATGACCTTAGTTGGGTGACCTGAGTGACCTAGGTTTTGTCTCCTTGCTTCTTTGTGACTGGGACAGAAAGTCAAAATCACATGGACACCAAGGTCCAGCATGAGATCTTTTTCAAATGGGAAGTGAGGGGGGCCAGGGATTTAGCTCAGTGGTTCCACCGCCGCCTGCCTCACGAGCACAAGGTCCCGAGTTTCGATCGCTGGTAATAAAAAAAAAAAAAAATCAAATGGGAAGGGGATCAAGGGGAGGGAAGGAGGGAAAGGGGAATAAAAAACAAAATTAAGACCTGTTATGCACATGTTCTGTTCCAACTCTGCAATGAATGTAACCGTTATGTAATGCAAACATGTTCTAATAAAAAATAAAAACCAAAAAAAAGGGGGGGGGAGCATCTGTTTATATTTTTCTAGGTTTATGTCTCTGATGCTGTCACTCTGGCTCTCTGTCCCTTTCTTTGTATGTTTGTGTGTTATTATGTCTATGTTTCTGTGTTTTGAGATCTCTGTGTCTTTTGTTTCCATAAGTCTCTGTCCCTGTATTTCCATGTCTATGTCTTTGTTGCTGTCTTTCTTTGTGTGATCCTGTGTCTTTGGTTGTGAGTATGTGTACGTATATGCGTGCTGCTGTTTCACAGGAGCCTTTTTTGTTCACGAGTTTGTTCATTCATTTATCCATTCTTTGAGCATATTTACTGAGCACCTATTGTGTGCCAGCACTGGGGCTGCATAAATGATTCAGAAAATGTCTTTTCCCTGGAAGAGCTTACAGTATAAATCAGGAGTCCAGGTGGGTAACCAGATGATTATTATACAGTGTAAGTGATGTGAGCTTGGAGGAGATGGGAGGGGACTGTGGGAACATGAAAGAAGGGACCAAACTCAATCTAAGGAAGGGCTCAGGGACGGCTTCCTCTTAGAGGCACTAAGACTTGAAGGATGAGTTAAATTTCCCACACGAATCAAAAGAAAAATGTCCCACGCAGAAGGAAAAATACATACAAAGGCCCAGTGGTGGGAGAGAGCATGGTTTGTTAGGAAAACTCTGAGATCCTTAAATACACCATGGGGGTCAAGAAAAGTTGTGAGCAGGACTTGTGAGTGACTCAGTCAGTTTTTTGTTTTCAGAAAGTCACTTCCAAGGCTGCTGTGGAGTATGGATTTGGAGGGAGTAGAGACTGGAGATAGGAGGGCCTGTGAGGAAACGGGGGTCCTTAAGCCTATAGGTCCACAGATCTGCACATCTGTATGTTTGGGTTTCCTGGCATAGGTGCCCATTAGCACATGTGTGAATTTGTGTCCCTACGTGTACCTCCACATGCGTGGGTCCTTGTCCTAGGCTCACCCCATGCCCTGGCCTCTAGATCTTCCAAATTCACATCTCCTGCTCTGGAGTTCAGGAGGCATCACAGAACACGGGCCAGGTGAGGCTGGCCCAGAAACTGCTTTACATGGGAGTGCTTCCCTGGCCAGCAGGAAGCCCAGTAGGGGCAGCCGCCTTGGTGGGTCCTTCAGCAGCCTCTTGCCTAGAACCACAGACATGTCTGGCCTGTGGTGTCTCCGCAGGCCAGGCCCGGTAGGCCCTGTCATCAGCTGGATGTCTGTGTGCTGGAACTGCCCTGGTGGGAGAGAGGTGCAGTACCAGTCAGGTTAGTGTCTTGAGCTCCTGTTCAGAGCGCCAAGGGGAGCCTCAAGCGGGAAATAGAGGGGGGGAAGTGGGAGGGTGGAGGGTCAACAAAGGCCTGGAGAAAGGAAGAGGCCGGACGTTATGGGCAATGTGGAGGAGCCAGCTGGAATAGGAGTGTAGTATGGAAGTAGAGAGGCAAGGTTGATGAGATAACAGAGGAAGGGGAGCAGCCGGGCTTGAAGAAATTAGAGCAGACTGGAGGGAAGGAGAGAACAGGTTCGGGACAGCCAGAGGAGGTGAAAACATCTGTCTAACCCATCGGCACTGCCCAAACACTTTGGTGTGGGCTTCTGCCTCAGGTTCTGACGATGTCTCTTGACCTATGGTCTGGCTTCCTACAATCCCCTTTCACAGGCAGATAAAGATCCAGAGGGGCTTTACAATACACTTTCTTGTGCTTATAATCTTTCAGGGGCAAAGGCTCCCTGTTGCCTTCAGGATAAAGTCAAAATTTTCATCCTGGCACTCAATTCTGACCACTCCAGTTCCAGCTCCTCCAATGTCCATTCCTTTCCTCCACATTATTTCTCAGTCGTATGCAGTACGGGTGGCTCTCTCTCCTCCAAGAGGTCTGTCCTCTTGAGCTCTGAGCCTAGGCAAGGTCCCCCACTCTTTGTTTCTCTAATGCCGGGGGATGCCTCCTGTCAAGCACTGATCCCTCTTTGTGATCACTGTCCTTATCTGGATCTTTCCTTTACCCAGACCGGGAGCTCCCTAAGGGCAGAGCTTGGCTCTGATTTCCTTCTGAGATTAGGAATATAGGGTGCTGAGCCCCACCGACTTTTCCTCTTGGCAAAAGTCTTTGTTGGGACTAGTGTTCCCTGGTTCGTTTCTGCCTCAGCAGCACTTCTCCATCAGGTGTGGGCTGTGGGACTGAGGCCTGAGCCACTGGCCACATAGAATCCCAAGCAGGGTAGTTGTAGGGTGCTGCGGTGCCTGTAGCAGCGCCGGAGGATGAGGAACTCAAGGTAGGGTCCAAGACGGAAGGTGAGGTGGGCTTCAGCAGCCACGGGGAGCTCTAGTTGCGCAGGCTGGTCCCAGGGCAGGAACAAGATATGGCACCACAGATATGGCTGGTGGTGATAATGTCGGCCCGGGGTTTGTCTGCAGTGACTGTGATGATCTGGACGTAGGTGAGAGTCTGGCCTTCGTGGCCTGGTCTTGGTGGTGGTGTCCCAAGCAGCTGTCCACTCACATGTAGACATAGGCGTGTGGGAGGGTGGGCAGGTGTTGGCCCAGAGCATAGGCTTTCACCTGGGCATTCACATAGTCAATCACAGCACAGGCAGGGATGAGATCTTGGCGCCCAGGGTCTAAGATGAAGTAGTGCAAATTTGTGGCTAAAGGGCTAGCTCTTGAGAGAAAATGCTTCCACCGTGATCCACCCTAGCCAGTGTTTGTGGGGAGGGTCATGTAGTATGTGCGCACATGCTCACCCCAGTGTGGCTTTTTGCATGTATATGTGTACGTGTTTGCCTTTGAGTGGGTAAATTTGTGTGTTTAGCAATATTCAGATGATCATCTCTGTGCAGGCATAACCGTGCATCTGCATATTTGAAGAAGGTGGCATGTAAGAGTTGCTGTTTATTTTTTCAGTTGTATGTTTATGTGTCCCTGTGGATATTTTGCTGCTCTGTACCGTGATGCAATAGTATATGTTGTGTGTTGTATGTGTCTGAATGTGTGTCAATGTATATCTTGGTGGGTACTGCTGTACACCAGTATGTTTCATACGTGTAAAAGAAGCAAAAAATGGCTGCTCCCTGTGTGTGCTGAATTCCTAGGGACCAAGATGAATCTGAGGGTATCAGTGCTTGTGTGTCTGAGTGGTGTTTTTTTTCTCTTTTTTCTTTTTTTTTTTTTTTGGTACTGGGGTTCGAACACGGGTCCTTGCGCTTGCGAGGCAGGCGGAACCACTGAGCTAAATCCCCGGCCCCTGTCTGAGTGTTTTGATGTGCCTGTTATTGTTTGCATCGGGGCATGTCTTCTGTGTCATGCTGTGTCTGGGTGCATATTCGTGGTGTGGGGGAGTCTCAAGACGATTTACTGTAATGCTCTGATGTGTATGTATCATCGAGAATCTTGCTGTTTATCTGGGTGTATTTGCATATGTTTTCAAGTGTGTTCTTGTGTGTTAGTGAGGTGCGAAGGGTCTGGAATATTGACGCGAGTGTATTCAGCTGTGGTGTTGTGTGAAGATGGAGTCCTTGGGGCTCTCACCTGTCTTTGGGTCCTCTATAAGCTGCAGCAGGTCCTCTGGATGTCCATCCAGTGTGAAGCAGATCCTCCCTGAGTGTGGGATGTGGATCACAAAGTGCAAAAGCAGGAGATGCATCTCTGAGGTTATGACCCTGGATGGAATGGGAGTGAGGAGAGGGGAAGGCGGGGAGGAGGAGAAAGGAAGAGGCCATGTCTATTTCCCCAGAGCGAGCCTGGCCCCAGTCCCAGTGCACAAACTGTCCTGTACTCAACCAGGAAGGCCATGGGGTGGCTGGCTTACCAGAGGATGAGAAGGTGAAGATATTTGGCAAACTGCCTGCAAAGGAGAGAGAGGGCCTGAGTTGGTGAGGGAGTGATCTAAAACACATTCCTAGGAACTGTAAGACCTCCATGGCCTCTAAACCACCTCTTCCCAGGTAAGAGCCAAATTCTTGAGCACAACATTTGAGGCTTTTCTGGAATCTAGCCCCCGCCTGGCTCTTCAATCTTGTCTTTATGCTCCAGCTCAACTGAACCGACGATCATCCTCGTGAGTGTGTGCCTTCTTTGGCGAGTGACTGTTTGTTCCTGTTTTTCTGGCCACCTGGAATATTTTCCTTTTCCTTGACTACCAAAGATCAATTTTTGGTTCTTTCAAGGCCAGCTCAGTCAACAGATTGATAATCAAGGGAGTGACTTTGTAACAAAAGCAAGCTATTCTGGCTGCCTTGCTCTGTTCCACCACATACTGCCCCTGCAGAGAGGCACTGGGACTCTGCAGAGAGTTCATCCCACCAAGGAGGCTCTCATCAGATGCAGGCTTTGAGCCTCAGACCTCCCTGCCTCCAGCACTGTGAGATGAGTAAACCTTTATTCTTTAGGAATTACCAACTCCGTGGCATTGTTAGAGCAGCCAAAAATGGACACAGATAATGGCTGTTGTTCTCAGTTGCTAAATTTGTGATAATTTGTTACATATCAGCAGAAAACTAACATATCACCCCTACTCTGGGCCTCCACAGTTTCAATGAGAATCCTAATTGGGTGGAAATGAAGACTCAGGGGCTCTTTGACAGGAGAGTGCCTAACTCACCTTTTGCTAGCCTCACAGAACTTCCATGAGATTCCATTCTGTCGCCAGGCCCTCTCAGCATCTCCTCAGAATCACCATCCCAGTGTGGACTTCCTGCCAAACACAAAGAATTGAGAGAAATCCTTCACATTCCTGGGGCGAAGATACCCTGTACCCACCCAAAGGGCCCACCTTCCTTCTGACTAACAGAGCTCTCACTGGCTTCTCTAACTGACCTTCCCATTTTCATGCCTGATACCTCATGTTAGTCACGGTTTCTTAGTCTTTCAAGCTCAGGTATGCTCAGAGTTCTTCCTCATAGCATTTGCACATTGATTTCCTTATCTACTCATTCAGGTAGTGCTTAGGCACCAAGGTTCGGGTGGTGAAAAAGACAAGCCTGGTTTCCTACCTGGTGAAGCTCATGGTTCAGTGGAGGAGGTGGAGATGAATTAAGCCGTAAAAGTATGCATGGTGATAAATATTTTAGCAAAAATATACCTGACTGACTATGGGAGTAATAGAGGCTTGAGATGACCTGAAGAAAGACACTGGGTAAGGGGATCTGATCTGAGACCTAAGGCATAAGCTAGAGGTTTAGTGACAATAGAAGGAATGAGGATAGTAGGAAGGAGCAGGGCAAGGCACACCAGGCAAATATCAAGCAGAGGGATTAACTTGAAAAACAGCCCTTGATTGAGGTGAAGGCTGGTGCCTATAGAAGGAGCGTAGAGAATGAGTGGAAGAGTGGGAGGAGTTGAGGTCAGAAAAGTGTGGGGCAGGGAGCACATTATGCAGGAACTTGTAAGCCATGAAGAGGACTTTGGAATTCATTGCAGATGTGATGGGAAATCCTTGGGGGGGGCGGTATTAATTATAGAAGGAATACGAAGTGATTTGTGCCTTTAAAAAACTCCTTTGGCTGCAGGGAGAGAATGGCCTGTAGCAGGACAGCAGAGGAAGCAGGAAGACCAGAGGGGAGGCTGGAACAGTTTCCTAGATGAGATTCAGTAGACTATCCTAGGATAGTGACAATTGGCGCTGTGAGAAGTGAGAGGATTTGGGAAATATAGTAGAGGTAACATTACCAGGAATCAGAGATAGACAGGATATTGGGGAAAGGTGAGGGAGAGGGGTGTGTTGAGGACAACATGCCCAAATTTGCATCCCTGTGACTTACAGCCACCCTCAACCCAACCCTGCCCTACAAAGTCACCCAGGAAACATCACAGCTTCCCTTAAGAAGGCATAACAGTGGAGTGGTAAGAGCACATTTATTTGGGGTCCAGATTGTATTGCTTCACATCTCTGACTAGCTGTGTGGTGTGACACTGAACAAGTTACTTCACCTCTGCGTGCTTCAGTTTCTCCGTTTGTAAAATGTGTATATTAAGAGTTTCTTGGGATTACATGAGAGACTACAAGCACAATATGTAAACAAGTACCTGCATGTAGGAAGAGCTCAGAAATGTTATTCCTTCATAGTCTTTGGGAAATTTAAGTGTATCATCATCTTCACAAATTTTTATACCCCTCTTGTTAAGCAGGACCAATTAAGACCAATCAGATGTGCCTTTCCCAGCAGAACTCCAATTTACACTCCTACATCCCTCCCCTGCTTGGGAACCGTTAGCAATTCACCTTTCCAACAATGTCAAAGCTACAGCTTGGTCGGTTTGTTGCTGTTCAGCCTTGCCAGTCTTATCTCCCAAAGCTTCAGATTCTGTGCCTATGTCCTGTGGCCCAGAGATGTTAAGTAACTAGTCCAAAGTTCCAAAGCAATCAAGCAAGTAAGTCTCTGGACTATCAGGAGAACCTGCAATGCCTTGTAGACGCCCAGCTCCTGCTGCTCTCCATTCCTACCTTCCCACCATAGCTTGACATCTTGTCTATGGCACTCACCATCTTTGTCAGGAGGGAAAAAGGTATGGAAAGCTGGTGGGTTCAAGGACTCCATGAGCTTGGACTCCATCATTGACTCAGACAGCAGCTCTACTTCCTGTGGGAGAAGGAGAACACTGATGGCCTCAAGTAGGGTGCTGGAAGGCAGCAAGTTTGGCACGTTTGGGAGTCTGCCTTCTGGCAAAGGTCTGGAGCCATTGGGTGGGGCAATTGTTGGGGCTCCTGGCTATGGTCCCGGAACTTGCCTGGTGCTCTGGGGCCCAAGTGGCAGATCTTGCTGATGCCAGAGTCTTCCAGTAGGCGCAGAGAGGGCATCCTTGGGGTAAAGGGAGGGGGGAGGAGTTGTCCAAGGACAGAGGCAGTCATGTTACTGCTGGGACCCTTGGGACTTGAGACCGTGTTTGGGAATGTGCCAAGGCTCTGAGGAGGTGGGGGCCTGGGTTTGACAAGTCTAGGGAATGGCAGGGTTTTCAGTGTACGTGGGGTTGGGATTCCAAGCTTGGGAAATGATAAGCTTGTGGAAGTTTATTGAGGTGATGCACTGGGTTTAAGAGGTGAAGGGATTTTAGGACTCCTGGGCAACAGGATTCCAGGTCTAGAGTGTGGCAAGTTGTTTGGGGTCTAGAGAGCAGGAATCTTAGATCTGGTGCATGGTGAGTGTTTGAGGATCTGAAGTGTGGAGATTCCAGATCTGGACTCTGTCAGGCTTTGGGTGACTGTGATGTGAATAGCCCAGGTTGGGGGTGTGATGGTGTGTTGGATTTAGGTTGTGATGGAGCACCGGGTATGGGAAGCTGCGGAGTAAAATGTTTCATAGTTCTAGCTTTGGCCTGGTTTGGGATGCCAGGATTCAGAGGTGGGATGTGTGTCTCAGAATCCAAGGAAGATACAATATGAAGATCCTGGTGTGATGGAGTGCTGGGCTTCAGAGGCAATAGAACAGTAGAGTTTGATGGCATAAGGGCAACAGGTTTCACCTTGAGAGTTGGCTGGATCAAGGTACCAGAAACTTGCTGTGCTGGAGTTTGGGGCTTTAAGTGGAGTGAGGCTGATAGGGAACTAGAGCTCTGACTCTGTGGCTCCAGCTCCTCGGAACTGGGCATCTTATTTGTAGAGGTACTAATAGTTGAGGTTGCTTTCACAGGCCTTGACTTGAGGGAGACCTTGGGCATCAAGGCTGGCTGTGCTGTGCCTGTTCTTAGGCCATGGCCTCTGCTGGAGGACGGTGTGATAGTGCCTGGCGCAGATGTGTTGGGTGACTGTCTCCCAGCCTCCTCACTGGCTTCCTTGCACTGCACCATGATCACGGAAGTCAGAGGTGTGACAGAGTTGTGTCCAAGGGATAAGTTGAGGACTTTGGCAGCGAGCAGGTGGCGAGTGGTGATGTCACTGACACGGAAACATGCTCCCAGCAGCTCTCCAATGGTGACATAGGCCCAGAAGTGGTGGATAAAGCAGGATGCATGGAGTCCCCCTTACCCCCGCCGCCCCCCGCCCCCCGCCCCGCAACCAAAGTCCTTCGGGCTGCTGTTTGTGACTCCTTCACAATGGTGGGCCACAAGTGACTGACCCTCGGGGCCATGGGCTGCCAGGTGGACGTCCAGCTCCTGCTCTCCTGGCTGCACCTGGCTAGCCACCACCAGCTCTGAGCCCCCAAAGTAGTTGGGGAAAAAGGCCCAAGGGGAGGCTCCAACCAAGCCACCCAGGTAGTCCAGGTGCACATCTGCTAGCAGAGGCATGGAGATCTCTTCATGGAAGCCCTCTAGCTGGAGGGTCACGTCAGCATCCTCGTGTACTCGTCAGGCTGATCCCGCCCCTCTTACTCCCCACCTGGGATTTCCAGGGACAGATGTCCCAGCAGTGGGAAGTTAGCATCATCTCCAAAGGCCACGCTGAAAAAGGATACCCTGTGGCCCAGGACCTGTCAAACATTGGGAAGGATCACACTGGGTGTTGTCAGGCTGACTATAGGCTCCCCATCTGTCAGGAAGATGATAAGAGGAATTCTCCTCATACTGGGGACTTTCCCAGACTCTTGGTTGCTACGGTTCTCCACTGAAACAGCTTCCAGCACAGCTGTGTTGATGTCAATCCCTAATTGGGAAGCACACTGAGATCCATCTTCTGGGGTCACTTCTGCCCATACAATGGGTACCTCACCAGCCTCCCAGTTTCAGTCATAGCTCAGCTTTTCTCAGCGTGTTTCTGCTGCTTATCCCTCCCAACTCCTCTACCCCAACCTGGGCTACATAAGATCTGTCAGGAGGCCCATGTGTCCCTGGCTTTCATCACACCATCTCAGACTGTTCTTTGCTTGCTTCCTGGGGATAGGGTGGTGCTTCATTCACTAGTCAGATCAGCAGCTACTCAATGACAGGGCCCCCACCTTCTTGCTACAGGAGAGAAAAGGCTGAGATGAGACTTCAGTAATTGGGAGGAGATTGATCAAAAGCTGGAAACAGGGCAGCAGTTTGCTGAAATGCTTGGAAATAAATATCTAGGTAATTGTTTTAAAAAGTCTTAGCAAATTCTCCTGAGTGTTTGCTTTAAGGGGAACAAAACTCAGGTCCAAAGAGGAATGTGCCCTTTCCACCTGGAATCAGCTGTTTCCACTAGGAGAGGGCGATGGGAAGGGAACACAGAACATGAAGGTGCATACTTGTGTAAAATATAATAGTGATGTTTCAAGCACAGTGAGAGGTGAGGAAGATGGGGGAATGAAGAGAGGTTTTCAGGAATTTCCCACATCTCTACGGCCTGCGCATTTGAGTAGGTAGGCTTAACATTTAGAACCATCAGCTTCCATACGACCCAAGTAGTTCTCCAGCACTGTGGATATTCAGCATCGTGGCCTTCAGATTTCCAGGCGTTAACTGTGTCAGAAAAGTAGATGATGTGGAAGTAGTCACTGGCTTGCAGGTCACTGAGGATCACATTCATGGCTTTTTCAGTCTGTGGGATATGAATGAAGCGAAGGAGCTCAGACAAGACTTGAGGTCTATGAGCTTGAAAGTCTCTTTGTGCACTAGGGTGCTGAATTCTAGATGCTGTCTGATTTTAACACCCTCTAACTTCAGCATTCTGTGAGCCTAAAACTACCAGGTCAAAATGCTCTCCTGGGATTTATGGTCCAAAGCCTAGAACTCCACCATCCAGTATTGCATCTACTAGCCATATGTGGCCATATAAATTGAAGTGCAAATTAGTTTTAAAATTTAGTTCTTCGCCTGTAATAGCCATATTTCACGTGTTCGATAACCACTTGTGGCCAGTCACTACTGTAATTAGGCAGCACAGAACTTTAGAACATTTCCTCCAGGTGGGTGTGATAGCATGCACTTGTAATCCCAGCTATTTGGAAGGCTAGGGCTAGATGATCGTGTGCTTAAGGCCAACCTGGGCAACTTAGTAAGACGATCCTGTCTCAAAATACAAAGGGCTAAGTTTGTAGTTCAGTGGCAGAGTGGTTGTTTAGCATGTGCAAAGCCCCGGATTCAATCCCCGGTACTACAAAACAAACAAACAAACAAAAAAAACTACTAATACTACTAATAATAGAACATCTTCATCATCAAAATAAGTTCTACTGGACAGCATCGGTCTAAAAGGTTCAAGTTCTATGTTTGCAGAGCATTGCTTTTATAATTCCTGACCCCATGACCCAGGATTCAGTGATTTCAGAACCATAAAGTTTGAGATCCTCACCATTCCAAGTCTTTATAGCTGTTTCTCAAAGACTTTGCACACCTTGGTTCTGCTCTACTCTGTTTTTCACTCTCACCCTCTGTTTCTTTTTTTTTTTCTTTCTTTTTTCTTTTTTCCACAAAGAAAGCCTGGTTTATTGACATGGTTTCCAGGATCCACAAGATCCTGGTAGAGGAAAAGAAATTGGACAAGCTGATAACTTGGGCTGGAAACTCCCTCAGATGCAGAATTTATAGCCACTGATTCCAATTTGACTCTGAAGAATGGTGACTGGTTTTGAGCTTCATGCTTTTTATTCAATGTGAAGCAACTTCCACTCTTTAAGCCAACAGAGGCTCTAACCTTTTGTATTAGGTTCTCTAGGTCTGAAAGAATTTATTAGATGGGCTACAAGATCAGAGTCAAAGGCTGAATGGCCATCTTCAGGCTGGAGAGCTGAGGAAATCAGTTATCTGTTCCGTCTGAGCAGCTGGAGGCCTTAGAATCAGGGGGTCAATCACGTAGCCCCAGTCTGAGGCTGAAGACCTGGAAGCCCTCTGGAGAGCTGCTGGTGCAAGTGTGTGGTCAAAGGCTGAAGAATCTGGAGTTTGACGTTCATGGGCTACTGAGGGAGCAGTCAAATGCACCCACTCTGGAAGAGTGGAGAATCTCACCCTCTGTTTCTTTCAGGCTAGTCTCCTCGCCAGCCTCTTGATAACGCAGATCCTATTTCACCTCCATAACTTTGCTCTTGTGCCATTTAGATAACACCCCCGTTTATGTATTCCTATCTCCTTTGATGGTGCTGTTCTTCGCTACTGATTTCTGCCAGTGGGAATCTGTCAATTACTGATAGAGGGGTGGTGAAGTCTCCAGCTACAGTAGTGGATTCCTCTCTCTCTCTCCTTCTGGTTCCAACAGATTTTACCTCATGTATTTTGGTACTCTTATTAGACACATACACATGAAGGATTGGTATATCTTTTGTGGGGACTGAACTCTTTGCCAGAACATTACGCACTTATTTCCCTGATAATTTCCTTGCTCTGAAGTCTTATTTCTCATAAAATAACATAGCTACCACAGACTTCGTTTGATTTGTGTTTGCATTGTCTATGTTTCTCTGTTCCTTTACTTTTAATCTACCTGTATCTTTATATTTAAAGTGGGTTTTTAGCCAGGTTTGGTGGTGCAGGCCTGGAATCCTAGCACTCTGGGAAACTGAAGAAGGAGGGCTGCAATTAAGAGCCCAGCCTGGGCAACTCAGTGAATTTGTGAGACCCTGTCTCGGAAGAAAGAAAGAAAGAGAGAAAGAGAAACAGAGGGGGAAAAGGGAGAGAAGAAAATATAGTGGGTTTCTTATAAATAACCCGCAGTGAGTTTGTTTTTTTTGACCATCCACACTGATAATCTCGGTCCTTTAATTGGTGTATTTAAACCATTCATAAATAAAGTGATAACTCTTATAGTTGGGCTGATATTGTTTCAATTGCATACTTTACATAATCTCATTTTTTCTCATTTCTTAGCATATTCATTACACTTAGAGATAAAATGTTAGTGGTTGCCCTAGAGTTTCTAACATACATTTGCAACTAATCCAAGTTTATTTTCCCAACTTTTCGCTCTCATCCCTTACAACATTGCTGTCATTAATTGCACGTCCATAAACTATGCTCACTGAATACATTGTTGCTATTATTTTGAAGAAACTGTTATCTGCTGGATCAGTTAAAAAATTAAGTATCTTATCTTCACTTTTCCCTTCTCTAACATTTTTCTTGCCTTTATGGGCATTCCAGTTTCTAATATATGCCATTTTTCTCCTTGGTGAAAAACTTTTACCACTGCTTGCAAAACAGGTCCACTGTGGGCAATTCCCTTAATTTTTGTTTGTCTGAGAAAGTCTTTATTTCTTTTACATTGGAAGGATCATTTCGATGTATACACCATTCTAGGCTAGGGTGGATTTTTTTCTGCTTTAACACTGGAAATCTTGCACTCCACTCTTCTTGTTTCCATGGTTTCTGAAGAGGAGTCTGATGTAATTCGTATTCTTATTCCTCAATAGGTAAGGTGTTCTTCCCGCGTTGTGTTTTTTTTTTTTTCCCCAAGATTTTCTCTTTGTCTTTTTGATTCTGTAGTCCCTATTTGCAACAACTTTTTTTCCATTTTTTTCCTCTTCTGAAGAGGAGTCTGATGTAATTCGTATTCTTATTCCTCAATAGGTAAGGTGTTCTTCCCGCGTTGTGTTTTTTTTTTTTTTTCCCCAAGATTTTCTCTTTGTCTTTGATTTTCTGTAGTTTTCATATGTCACACCTAGGTGTGGATTTTGGATATTTATCCTGCTTGTTGGTCTTCAAGTTTCCTGGACCTGTCATTTGTTTTGGAAAATTTGTATCCACCATTATTTCAGATATTTCTTCTGTTACTTTCTTCCATATTATTCCAATTCTATATGTGTTGTATTTTTGTAATGGCCTTACAATTACAAAATGCAATGTAAAAAGGAATGCTGTTTTCCGTTCTTTTTCCTTTTTATTTTTCAGTGTGAGAAGTTTCTATTAACATATATTTAAGCTCACTGCTTCTTCAGCCATGTTCATTCTCCTGATAAGCCCATTGAAGCCATTCTTCACTCCTGATACTGTGTTTTTTATTTCTAGCATTTCCTTTGATTTTATCAGGGATTCCAGATCTCAGCTTACATTACACTTGTGTTGCTACACGTTGTCTAATTACTTCATGGGGGTGCTTGGAATATTAATCATGCTTATTTTAAATTCCTGCTCTGATAATTTTAATGTCTTTGATATAGCAGTGTCTGGTTCAAATGCTACCTGTATCTCTTCAGATTGTGGGTGTTTTTCTCTCTTAGCATGTCATGTGATTTTATGCAGAAAGCATACATAATCTATCAAGTAACAGGAAGTGAAGCAAACAGACTTTTCCCACCTGTACTGGGGACTGAACTCAGGAAGAATTGAGCTACCTCAGCAGCCATTCTTATTTTATTTTTAACTGAGACAGGGTCTTTCTAAATTGTCCAGGCAGGGCTCAAACTTATGATCCTCCTGTCTCAACCTCCCAGGTAGCTGGAATTACAAGTGTACACCACAGTGCCGGTCATGTTCATGATGTCAGGACTTAGGCTATGTTTGTAGTTTGCAGTAGTAGTATGGGTCAGGCTATAGTTTCATCTAGAGTCTATACATGGGTTTCCGCTTTTGTCTTTGGGCTCCCATAGGGACTTTCCTTAAAGAAGGGCTAAGGTTTGCACTTCTTTCAGCTATAACCTTCGTATTTATGCAGGAGCCTCAGTGAATGTGGTGTTAATGTGTGGGGTAAGAGGAAGGATTCCATAATCCCGTGGTTACATCTCACTCTTTCAGTGAGATAGTGTCACTGGGACATGAAGTTCACAAGTGCTACTGAGGTCTACCCCTCACTCTCCAGAAAGGGACAGGAAAGCTGGAAAGGTTTTGAGTTGGGTAGGCCACTTGCCCTACTGAGGGCTGTGGAGCTCCTCAGTTTGGGATATTTACCTTCCTACATGTTGGTGGCCTCTGGTAAAACACCACTCAGTTAGATTTAAGTCTCAAGGGCTCTGCGTTTAAAAGCTTTAAGCACGACAGCTCTACTGTCCCAGGACACTTGAACCTTAACGTTAGAAAGCCCCAGAACATTATGATTTGAAATGCTCCTTCCAGACCTTTGCAAACTGAAGTACTGACAGCAAAGTCTGCTTGGTCTATGGCCCCAATATCCTGATTCAAGGGTAACTGGTGGAAGAGCTACAAGATTCAAACGGATGGCCCCAGAACTCTATGGTTTCTAAGCCTATAATGGTAGCTGGTACCCTATTATATTTAAATTTAAGAAAAAAAAGTAACAAAGCCCAGAAAACCCAGAGTCTCACGAAAAATCAGAGTCTGTGTTACTTAAGTTTGTATTGGATCAGGACTCTATCGCCAAGTGGGGTGCTCCAGCTGAAGGGCTCCAAGACCCGGGGACCTACAGAGCCCTGTAATTTTGCAGTTCAGGGAGTCAACAGTTTCGCGAAAGCTAGACCAATGTTTCAATGTTGCTAGGACGCTGTGGTTCTAGGTCTCTGTGGTTCCTGTGATGTGAGGTATCAGGGCCTTATGGCAGGCTCAGACATAAAAGATCCAAGGCTGATGGGCTGATGGGAGGGTAGTAAGTTGGTCCCAGGGTCCCATCATTCCAGCATTCTCTGCTCTCTGGGCCTTCTGAGGCCAGGACTAACAAAGGTCCCCAGGGTCCTTGTTACCTGCCTCATCTTGGTACCAAACATGGAGCCGCTCACGTCAGTAACAAACACCACATTCTTCTCCACAGGTCAGGGGCCCCTCGGGACAAACTAATGAATAAAATAACCACCATGAATCTGGACAAAAAGAAAGGAAACCAAGAAGAGCTATAAGAGCCAATCCAAATCAGGCTCCTCTTATTCTCCTGCATAACACCCTGCTCTTTCCTTCCTAACACCTCTCACTGTTTATAGCTAAATGGGCATGTGTGCGATTGTTTATTCAGTGTCTGCCTCCCCAAGCAGAAGTGGGTCTCTGCTGTTCAGACTTGTGGCCCAGGGCTCCAAGGATCAGGGTCTCCATAATTTGTGAGTTCCTGCCTGTGAGAGAACTGGGCTTGCACAGTGTTGAGGTTCCCCAAGGACAGTTTTGCCTGGGCTCCAGGAACTGTAAGCATTGTTTTAACCTCCCTCAATAGAGTGAGCCTGGGGCCCAGCTCACTGCTACCCTGGGCTGGAAGATTGCAGGGCCTCCCTCTCCTCCACAAGCCTCCTTTCTGCTGTTGCTGGGCAGAGCAGGAGGGGGAGGAGGCAGCAGAGGCCAATTGAGCTCTTTGTTCAGAGGGGATTGGTTATACCAGGTACAGATGCCTTGGGCTGTGCTGGATGTGATTGGATGTACACACACACACACACACACACACTTGCATATCTCTCTCTGCAGAGCCTGGCGGCTGAGCCAGCTGAGGGAAGGGAGCAGTGTCAGCTCAGTCCAGAGATACCTGGGCTTGCTGAGGGTCTGTATTACCTTGAAGCCTGAAGCCTGAGCAGGCCTTGCCCAGGGAAACTGACTATTCTTCCCTTCTGCTCTAGGCACTCTGACCACAAGGCTGGACACTGCCTCCTCCTTCCTCAGGGGGAAAGAGGAGATAAGAGTACATAGTGTTCTGTCCCTCGCCCCAACCTGCGAATTCACATGTGTGTTGTACCCAGTGAGAGAGAACCAACCAGAGACCGATATTAAATCCACACAGGAGTTTATTACCGGCCGGGACCGGAGCCCAGCATCAGACTCGAGCCTCAACTGGGGGTTGACAAACATGTTTTATACACCTTTGAGGCCAACAGTTTCTAGGCCCCCCTGTGGGATAGAACTAGTAAAGCAAGCAAAAGGTACAGAAGCGGAACATCCTGCTGTTAGAACATTTGTAAAACAGTAGTTGATTAATTGTTGTTTCTAAGAGACTCTCTAAGGGGAGGAGGTTTCTAAGCTTCCTCCTTCTGAGTTCATCTAAAGGGCAGGCAGGTGGGTCAAGCAGCAATATGGAGGCTGTCTTGCTAACAAGGGTCCTTCAACGTGCATCCTCTGTCAGCACATAATCTTTGCACTCTGCCACAGTTCCCCAAGGCCTGAATCATCCACAGCACCATTGACCAAACCATGAGCAGAAACCAGCTGGCCTCCCATTCTGGGTGGGGAGACCTACTGGAAAAGCTATGCTCATCTATATCTGATCCCATGCTATGTCTGATCCATGCCCCAACTTCCTATTCCACAACATGGGGACAGGACCCAGATCACCAGCTTCTCACAATTCCCTCAGCAGTCACCCCACCCCACCTTCTTAACTCAGGAAAAAACATGGAGGGTACCAGGCTACGCACACTTGCACTGCTCACCCTGTTCTTGGGCAGGGTCCACATTCCCATAGCCTCTCTCCTCTGTGGAGAACCACACAGACCCTAGACACTGCCACAGACCCTAGACACTCCCAGGCCTCAGCATTCTCTATCCTTCACTCCACTTCTCACCAACCCTCCACCCACCCATATGCACTTTACTGTATTTTCCTTAGAATATAGAAATTATGTGTCTTTCCCAACCATTAGGATAGGCCCTCACTCCCAACCTTCCTCCAGCTTCTAATCGGCCTCTTTCTTCCCCTCAGCATCCCAGGCTGAAAGGATGAGCACCTGCTGTCGTCTCTCACCTCCAGTTCACACCTGCAGAACTCACAGGACCACTCCCACCCCCAAGTCACACTGACACTTCTCTCACTAAAGGCAACTATGCATAGCTCATCTCCAAGCCCAAGGGGCCATATTTGGAGTCTCCTCACACTGGATCTCCCTCATGTACTCACTGCTGACAATGACTTCTTTCTCTAAAACCCTTTCTCCCTGGGACTCTGGGACTGGCTGCTCTCTGTATTCTACAACCTCTGGGTCCATCTCATTCAGCCTCTTTCTCTAGGTTCCTTTTGTCCCCATGCCCCTTAGCAGTGCTGCCAATATTTGTCAGGTCATAGTATGCAGAGAACATGATTATGACCTTTGCTCAATGGAGTGAACTGGTGGGGATTTGGGTGGGGGTGGATGCAGTGTGAGCAGGCTGTTTGCAGATGGTTGGGCCAGGCACCCTGAGACCTGAGGTCCACGACTGCTGGTTCAGGAAGCTCCACCTGAGCTGTTGTCATCAGGGTTTTTCCGTCCCGGCTCCACACATTCTCCATGTGTGACTTCACTCTCTCTCCTTTGGATGATACCACTGAATCGCCACTAGTGACACCACATCTCTTTCTGCAGTCCAGTGCGCTCACTCTTCCACCTCCACGACTGTGTACCCACTCACCGTGGACCTGTTCACTTGGATGGGCGAAGATGCCTCCAACGCATCCTCACCTGCATCATCCATGGTGCCATTGACCAAGCCAGGAGCAGAAACCAGCTGGTCTCCTGTGTGCCTCCCACATCTGGGTGCAGAGACCTACTGCCCAAACGATGAATTCATCGCCTTCCCCCCAAGCAGCCCTTGTGTGATTTCTCTCTGTAGGGGCATCACCCACCCCAGGGTCACTCCTCACACAAATGTGAGTGTCACCTACAACCCTCCTGTGCCATCAGTTCCTGCTGTTTTTTCCAAAGGATACTTCTCAGGGCCATCTCACCTCTCCACCCCAAACAGCCCCAGCTCTGACTCAGGCCTAACTTAGGTTCTTAGGTTCTTAGGTTCTCTGTTCCTACTCACAGGCCCTCCATCCCTGCTGGGTCTCCATACACACCACCTCACAATTTCACACTCTCTCTGGCTCCCCAGCCACCTACACGACAAACCGCAGGTTTCTTGTCATGCTGCCGCAAGACTTGCCAGCCTTCTGTCTCATTTCTTACCCTTTTGCATTCAAATTTATGCCCCTTGTAACTCCCCGTGAACATCTGGATATTTCCAGACTCCGTTCCTATTACAGTGCAGCCCCTACTTTGCTAGAATTCTTTCCACTTTCCTCTGGGGCCCCTCACATTGCCCACTTCCCTACATCCTTGAAGTCCCAGGACAGCCTTGACCTCCTCCGGGGAAACTTCCCTGGCTATCTTTCCCCCCTCGATCTGGCTTCTGTCATGCCTTGCCTTGTCATGGAAGGGATGTTTCTCACCTCCTGTCAGTATTGTCTCTATCTGTTACACCCGCAGACCTGTGAGTGATAGCCTTCAGAGTTCCCAACACCAGCCAGCACAGCCATGACACAGACTAGGTGTGCAGGGAATCCTGACTGAATGAGCAAGTGATGTTCTGGGTTTGAAAGGTGGGCATGCTCAAATAGGAGATAGGCTAAGGACCGAGGGATCCCCATGGGGTGGCAGCAGGAGTCAGAGTTCACAGTTAACGGGACTCTTGGTTGTGCTCTTCCCATCTATTCCATCTGCACTTTTTCCTCTGAGCAATTGTGACCAAAGTAATCAGTGAAGTAGCAGACACTTGCTCCATTGAACTAAATACACTCACATGACGAAGATCAGCTGAAAGTCCCTGTCAACACTTGCTGGCAAGGTACCCTCAGCTCCTCTTCTGGGAGGGTGAATTACTTTCATTCTCCCTACACGACAGGGTTGCCATACCTCTGAGCCTCTGTGCATGCTGGTCCCTCTGTCTTTATGCCTTTCCCTTCACCATATGCACCGACATGGAAGCAAGCCCTACTCATTTTTCCCAGAGCACCTGAAAGACCAACTCATTGAGGAAGACGGTCCTGAAACCTTCCTTCACGGGTAGCTCCACATAACCCCTACAGATATAGACACAGCACATAGAACCTTTGGTGTCTTATAATGAATGGCTCTGTGAATCTGGCTGCTTCAGAACTGGGAGACACCAGAGGGAGGCTAGAGGCTGAGTCCAGCTAATTTCTTAGTTCCTAGATTCAGTGGATACAGAACGGGGCTATGGTAGCCCTGCTGGGTGGAGATGTGCCAACCTATGAATGAATGAAGGATGCCCAGACAGAGGTTTAACCACAACACTAATTTAGGGCGGGTCAGAGGGAGGAATTGTGGCTGGGTGGAGGGGAGTCACAAAGGAGGAGTTGTTTGAACAGGGATTAAATTAGAGGAGGATGCTGACCTCCTCTGAGGGCAGCAGGTAGTCTGAGCAAATGCTCACACCCAGATAAGGGGCAGGCTCTGGTGCTGGTGGAGGGTGGTGCCTTAGGGTGGCCAGAGGATGGTTTGTGTGCTGGCGGCAGGGAGAGGTGTGGTTGGAATGGCAGGCCAGGAGCGTGGCCTCACCTGTGTGGGCAGGGAGGGTTGGGGCAGGGTGACATGGAGGGCTCAGCAGACACAGAAGACAGGGATAAGGACACAAAAAGGGGCAAAGTCTGAGGAGGGTGAGAAGTCACGCCCCTACTATCTCTTGCTTCTCTTGCCCCAACACCCTTCCACCTGCCCTGATGCCATGCTCTTTTCCAAATCTTGCAGCCAGTTCCTGCTCTGCTTTCTCCATCATGCCCAGCCTGATGGGCCCTCCCCTGCCCACACCTCCCAGCACCGGCAGTCTGTCCCTCACTTGCAACCTCACCCTGCCTCACTCCCCATCCAACCAACTTAGGCAGGTCCTTGGGAGAGTGTCATGCCCTGAGGTCAACCACAAGCCTGGGGCTCCTCCCAGAGAGGCAGAGTGGTGTATGTTAGGACAGACACAGACACACAGAGGGGGCCTGGGTCTCCTCCCATGCCCCTTCCTTCTTTGGGAAATAGTGGTCTAGCAAGGCTCTGCTCTGAGGTAGAATTTCTTCTGTTTTCTTCCCCCTCTGTCTCCAGCTCCCAGCATCACATATGAGAATAAGCCTTTCAGTGTCTCATGACAACACTGATGAATTACTGCGCCCAGATGTTTGCTGAGATGGCCGCAAGATCAAGCCCCCTGGAATTTTAGTCCAAGACAAGTGTCCATTTAGAAATGTCTCTGTGCCTCCTTCTTTCCAGAAAATGGAGACTTGGAAATTCTGCTTTTCCCCTCCTCCCTGCTACAGCTGCCAGGAAGCTTAGGGGCAAACTGAGCCCCCTTACCCTCTGAGGTGCCTGCTCACATACATTCCCTGGGCTTCCTTCCTTTCAGAGCTCTTTGTTCTGTTTTATCCCCACAGGGATGGTTCTATCCTCTGTTTCAACCTTTAAGGAGAAAGGGGAGGGAGCTGCCATTTATAGCCTAGGGCTTAAGAGTACAGGCTGCATGACTCAGATGGCCTGTGGCCCTAGGTCTCCACTGCTGCTCCAAGTCCCTGGACAAGTTATTCCCTCTCTCTGAGCCTTAGTCTCCTCTTCTGTAGGACAGGCTTCATAATAACTCCCAGTTCATAGATAGTGTTTGTGGGGATTAATAAGAGTATTTATGCAAAGCATTTGCAACTGTACCTGGATCTGTGTGACTGAGCGAATAACACTAACTCTTGCTGTCATCCTCTAATATTCACTACTTTGTACCAAATAATTTGGAAGGAGGAGTGCTCTCAAATTCTAACAAGAGTCCCATTGATGGCATCTCCCGTAGTTTACAGATGAAGAAAGAGAAGCAGAGCAACAAGGTTACTTTGTTGCCACAATGTTAGGAAGGTGTCAGAGCTGGGATTTGAACCCAGAATGGATGTCTGTTCCCTCCAGTTGCCTCTCTGGGTCAGCAGGGTCAAACCAGCCAGGCCCTCCAATGCCAGACAGCTCTGTGAGGGTGGCCACATGAGCTGGGGCGGCTTCCCTGTGCCCATCCGCTCTCCTCTCAGGTGAGATATATGGATTGGTCCAGTGGTTCTCAGGCCTGGCTGGACTTTCAGGCTCACCTGAGACTGGTTAGGGATGCAGATTTCCAGTGTCCACCCCAACCTACTGAACCAGGCTCCAGAAGAGTGAGGTCCAGGAATCTGTGTTCCCAAAGCTCACATAGTGATTCTGATGGGGCCAGTCTGGCCTTCACCATTCTGTGGGTGACACTTGACCCAAGCCTGGTATTCAGGATGCCTCTCTGGCCCACAGGTCTGAGCCTGCTTCCTCCAGGGCAGCCTGTATTTCCTGTTTTGCCGTCGTTTTTTCTACTCTCAGTCATGATTCCAGGGAAAAGCAAGATTTGGTCATCTTGGCTCCCTGTATTCTCAGTGTAGTGTGATTACCAGGGACAGTGTCACACATTGACTCATTCAGGCCTTATTATTTACACTTCTCATAGATTTATTCATTTTCCCATATTCCATTCCGTCTTTACATACAGATTCCCTTATTCCTTTTTCCACTGCATTCACTCTTTGTGCTATTTTGAATGTTATCAACAAACAGATGAATATTCAATTTGAAAGTTGCAGGTAATTTAGTGAGGACATAATATACAGAGGTGGGCAGTTAAGGGACCCCAGAGGGGGGATTGTGAGATACCCTGAGACTGCAACAGCTGAAAGGCATTATCACTACCTGATTGGAAGTTTCACGGGACAGTAGAAGTTATGGGAAAGAGGTGAGAGTGAACTCAATCTCAGAGGCTGGATTGGAGATGACTTGGACCTCTCAGCTTGGGAAAACCAGGTAGGGAAGGTACCACACACTCAACTTGGCTGGCTGAGCTTACCATGATGGGTGGCCACTGCCTGCATCCTGAGGAGGAGGAGTTACCCACTGATGGATAGAGGCAGATACTGATCACTCTTGGTCTTCCACATTGCCAGTCACTTGGTCTTGATAAGACTACTGAATGACTTCCATATGCCAATGGCTGTCTGTTAGTCCAACTTCGCCCTGGCCTTCCAAGCCAGCCCAAATCTGCCTTCTGCAGCCCTATCACAATGACCACATTTGCCCCCCTGATGAATCCCTAATAATTCTCATAACTCTTCCTTTTCCTGTGGCAAACTTGCTGCAGCTGCCCTGAAAACCCCTCCCTGAATCCCTCCTCTCACTGAGGGCTGATACCATCCTTTACCCCTAACACACTTGTATGGAATCACACCCTTTACAGCATCTTTTTGCCTCCCCCACTCTCCTACGAGGCCCAGCTCCTGCTCCAAGATCTGGTCTAGGAAGTCCTCCTTATCTACTCCTCCTCCTAGGCAGGTTACGGAGCCCTGGGCTTCATCTCTCCTCATTCTGGTTGTCTGACTCTCTCAAGGCACAAGTCTCTTCCTTCCAGGTAGATAGACATAGTGACCTGCACATTCTGGGTGCTGGATCTATAAAAGGATATATTTTCCTAGCACCTGACCTTGTGAATGTTGTTTGTTGAGAGGATCACTTGGAATGGGGCAACTGGGAAATTAAGTGCAGAAGGGACATTTATTGTCATTGTTATTACTGTCACATATTGGATATCTATGCACAGTCATGGTGCTATTTGCTGCCACATAGATGGCCTCATTTAATCTTTACAATAGCTGCATGGGAGGG